TTTGTTATACTAAGTTACTGACTCTAAAGAATTAATTTTAAGAGAAATGAATTTATTTATTGTTACAAGGAAATGAACTATATCTCCAGTCCAATTTTTATTTTTTAATTTTTATTTTTTTCCATTATTATTTTAAGACAGGGTTTTGCTGACGTGCCCAGGCTGGGCTTGAACTTGAGACTCTCCTGCCTCGTCTTCTCACAAGGTCCAGATGACAGGTGTGCCTCAGTATACCCGACTAAAATAAGCTTCTTTGCAAACTCCCTCAGAAGTAGAGATGATGGTTGGCTACTGTATTTTACTTATTTTCCTCCTGTCAACCTGTAGTAAAAGGGTGCCAATTTTATTCCATAGTGTTTGTATTTCTAACTACAATCGAAGCCTATCCATGTTGTTGAAGAGGAGTTGGTCAGAATTGAAAACTTCTTAATTAAATGGGTAATTTATGATATTCATTAATGGGACTGTTGACAGAGGACAGAAAGATACTCAGTGATGTTGTTAATCTTCCACTTTGTTGCTATTTGCAATGTTTAGATTGGGTCAACAAGGCATGTATATCTTTTTTATTAATATTTAATTAGTAATGTTGCCTAAAGCTTATTACTATTGACAGTAACATAGAGGTACTTATCTGACTGTTGTATCAGCTTCTGTAGGGTCCGTGGTAGCCGGCTATTTTGCTGGTGAGGAAAATAAGGCGTAGGAGATGGAGTGCGTCCTCGTGAGTGGCCCGCTGGGGTGCAGAACTCAGCCATCCCCTTTTATTTATCTAGGACCCCCAGGATCTCGCTAACACAGAACATGCAGTAAACATGTGACTGCATTTCTAACATGACTCTTCCATATAGATACCCACCTTTGGGGGATTCTTTCTGCTGAGTGAGTTTTAGTACCTCATCTCTTCTTGCAATTTATTGGGAATTTATTTTCCAAATTATATATAGGTTGTTTATCCCTTTTGCTTATGTTCTGGGCACTGAAATTTGGCCTATTGAAAAAAAAATACTAGAATTTTGAGGAATAGATTCCCTTTCAAGTGCAAGGTTTTATGTACAGAATTGCTTGGGGAGGTGGGCTTGGCCTCAAGGACCACAGCCCCTGCCTTCCTAGCTTGCCCTGTGTGTTGGTGCCTCCTCTGCTTTGGTTTCTTTGTCATTCGAGGCTTAGGGACCAGCTGGGGGCTACTGCCTCTTATTTCCAGCTGGCCCTTTTAGCCCTGTTCCTGCTTGATGTCATTTCCACAAACTTTGTTATTTTTTTTTTCGTGATTTAGAGAATACTATATCAGTTTTTGTAATCGACCCACAGAGGTAAGACCTTATATACTTAACACAATTTTTTATCCCTGGACAAATGAAAAGAAAAAAAATCAAGATTCATGCCACTAGACCAATATGGTTATTACTTTCTGTACAGTGCCACCTCAACGTGGTAAACTGAAATACTTTTTCAGAACTTGACAGTACAGTGAAATTTCCCTAGATTTCAAATTACATATCTGTGTATGTCTATGTCTATTTATATCGGAGGACAAGTAGTAGTGGTGTGTTCTGCATCATTAGTGGCAGCCGCTTCTCCAGGTTCTGCACTCATCTGAAAAAAAATTATATCCAGCACACTTCATTAAAAAGAAAACAAAAAAATGCCATAAAGCAACTTTCATTACTGTTGACGGACCATTCTCGCAGCTCACAGTCTGAGTGTTTGGGTCTTTTTGTGACACATGAAACAAAAAATTGGGTGTTTTTGCATCTGTTGCTTTGAAACGGGAGAGAAGGTATTTTGCAATTTCCTTTTAATCATCGATGAGCAGTGGCAGCGCAGGGCGTGTCGTCCCCTGCACTGTGTGCAGTGCGTATGCCCTCAGTGCATGTATTTGTCCGTGGCGTAAAGGGGGCAGGCTGCATTCTCTTCCTGTTTGTGGCTTGGTTCTTTTGAACACTGTGCTATCATTCATGGTCCAGCTTGGCTTTCCTTTCTTGTGTTTCTATCACGAAACACCCCAAAGACCAACAGTGTCAGTCACAGAATCCAAAACAGCTGGTGGCTGGGCCCTGCCTTGTACTTTGTGGCTTGGGCTTGTCTCTTCTTCTGGAATAAGTGGGTGGCTTCTTCCTACGTTTTTGCTTTTGTTCTAAAAGTGGGGGGGGGGAGTGTCAAGTGCGGAGACTGCTCTTTCATTTGGAGGCGCTGCCGGTTCCAGCTCCGCAGTGCAGCTTCCGTTCAAGGAGTGCTCTCTGCTGGCCGTGGAGGAGAGGCAGATGGCAGAGAGGGGCTGGCACGCCCAGCCCACCTGCCCTTGGGTCACAGCTGTAGAGATCTGCACACTTTAGCGATGCATGTTCACCCTCTTTCACACGATCCTAATTTTTGTGCTCTTCTTGAAGCAGTAGCAGTTGGTACCTGACGCTCCATAATGCGCCGAAGCACAAACTGGATACAGTGATTGACTGAGTTCACACGCTCCTGTCTAAAAACCACTGTGTACTATGTAAGCGCAAATTAATGTGCTTAACTTACAGGAGCGTGGAGGGAGCGAGACATTTTAGACTGGGCACAGGCAGAGAGAAAGCGTTCCCTCAGCCCGAAGAAGGATTTGGTGCCTTGAGTGCTCAAGGATGTTCACCGCCTACAGCTGGGTAAAAGTACAGTGGCGAAGCAGCGGCTGGGGAGGGGGAAGGAGCAGTTAGTTGACACTAGGGGGGTGGCTGTCAAAGCTGGGTATATGGGCAGAGCCCTGAGGAAGGGACAGAATCGGACAGCGTACACAGGAGAGTATTAGGTGGCTTTTGGTTACTGGGAGAAAGTACCTCAAATACACAGCATGAAGGACAGAAGGTTTACTTTGTTCATGACTTTGGAGGTTTCGCTCTGGGCACAGCTGGCTCTAAGGTAGCTGCCTCCTACACAAGGGTGTAGCAGAGGGCCAGGGAAGCAGAGAGAGCAGGGGAGTCAGGGAGGAGGCTCTCTCTCCAGAGGGGTGCCTGTGACCTCCCTGCTTCAGCTACCCCTGCTCCTAACAGCCCATTTGGGTTGTGAGCTCAATGGATTAATCCATCAAAAAGTGCCCTTGATCCATAAGTCTCTGGAGGGCCACTTCATAGTTAAGCCATAAAAGGGAGGAAGCTGGCTGCGAGTTCAGAAAAGTCTTGGCCTGTTGAACGTTGGTGGTGTCCATGTGGGGAACACGAACAGCCTAGCAGACTGGGTAGGTAGGAGCAGGCAGGGATGTGCTGCTGTAGCGTCTCACTGCCTGGTGTTGGGCTGAGGAGGGCCTTGGGGGCAGGCTGAGGCCTGGGACCTTGTGTATAAAACTTGACTTCTTCAGATCTGCAGAATTTCCTCACGTTTCACGTGGTGATGACGTCTCCTGTAGTGTGAGGGGCTGGGCGCACACCCAAAGCTGCAGGCACACCGGAGCGTCTGCCAGGTTTGGGTTTCTCTTAGGAGCCTCATTTTCCCTTCAGTAAGATTTAGGAATTGGGCCAACTCATTTAACATTCTAGGTTACCAAGCTCTGCCTCCTCCTTGGCCCTTGGAGCCTTCCCTTCCTTCTTCCCCTTCATCCTACACAGCTCCTTGCGCGGGTATGACTCCTGCAGCCTCCTTAGAGGGTAGGGCGTTGCATCTGCACCTTTCATGGAATCACACACGGGGTGCTTGACGTTCCTGAACTATGCTGGATAGAAAACTTTAGTCTGTTTGAGAAGACACAATAATGTTGTGGGATATTATGAAATCCCAAAAATTTATTGTAACCAAGGGTTGCTTTGGTATGGGCATACGGAATTTTGAAAATGAAGTCTTCAAGTATTGAGGCCGTTTTACCCAAAACTTTTAAAATCTGCAGATGTGTTGGTTCAGCGATCCCACTTCTAGGTGTTTGTCCTAAAAAAAATGCCGTTGTATATCTATCAAGAATGTTCGCTGGTGTATGGTATATAATGTAAAAACCTGGAAATAACCTCAGTGTCCAGTGGTAGGGATTTGGTTGAAAAAGAACTCATGGTGCATAATAATGCTCTAGGAATACCACCTCTCTATTAAAATGCTAATGTGGAACGATATTCATTGGGTTGGTAAAATGTTCTTGTTAAATGAAGGACACACATTTACAAATATTATATTATTGTCTGGTTTCTTTTCCTTTCAGTTATTTGTAGGGAAAGGATAACTGGGATGAGTAGTATTACCTGTCTTCGAATGTTGAGGTCACTGATGAATTTTATTATTTTTTGCTGTCACTTAACTTTACTATGGGAAGCATGCTTTTTGATTAGTAAAATACTTGACTAAAGTAGGAAGCATGTGACTTTTTCATTAAAGAGTATGTTTCTGCAGGGAAGATAGCTCAGTGGTATAAGCACCTACCCAGCAAGTGTAAGGTCCTGAGTTCTATCTCGGTACCAAAAACAGTGGCTTATTGAAGAGAGTAGAAGTGCCTGGGCTATGTCAGAGGAGGGCAGGATGCGTGGGACAAAGCGTCTGTCTCTGTCCTTTGCAGCATGTTGGCTTCTCCAGGGTAGACTGTATTCCTTGGAGCTTGCAGGCTAGGTGCAACAGTAAGTACCTGACTGCTAAGCTTTTGTTCAGGCACTTGGAGCTGGCGCTCTGTAGAAGGGTAAGGCATGTGAAGTCTGGCAGCCATGGAGCTGGGCTGGCGTGGGTTACAACCTTGACTTCTGTGTATCACCCCAGGTGACCCTGGGCTGCATGCTTTAGTGCATGTGGTTAAGGCCAAGGGCACCTCCCATAGTGGATGAATGTGTTGAACAGCGTCTGGCCCAGGGTAGACCATGGAGAGTGACAGCTGGCTGGACAGCAACCCGTGCAGTCCACTGCAGTGCATACCTCAGGTTGGTCTGCAGTGAAATCTTGAATCTTAATAAAAGCAGATTTCCTTCAACCTAACTGTATTATACATTAGAACATAGTTTCGAGAGTGGTTTCCTTTTAACTGAAACATGTCCCCCCTTTGGCCTTTTGTCTCCTTTCAGTCTGTGGGCCAGGCATTGACATCCGCAATGACTATCAGCAGCTGAAACGCCTGGAGAACTGCACAGTGATCGAGGGATACCTCCACATCCTGCTCATCTCCAAGGCTGAGGACTACCGCAGCTACCGCTTTCCCAAGCTCACGGTCATCACCGAATACCTGTTGCTGTTCCGAGTGGCTGGCCTCGAGAGCCTTGGAGACCTCTTTCCAAATCTCACGGTCATCCGTGGCTGGAAACTCTTCTATAACTACGCCCTGGTTATTTTTGAGATGACCAATCTCAAGGATATTGGGCTTTACAACCTGAGAAACATTACCCGTGGGGCTATCAGGATTGAGAAAAATGCTGACCTGTGTTACCTCTCCACGGTGGACTGGTCTCTGATCCTGGATGCAGTGTCCAATAACTACATCGTGGGAAACAAGCCCCCAAAGGAGTGTGGGGACCTGTGTCCAGGGACCATGGAGGAGAAGCCCATGTGCGAGAAAACCACCATCAACAATGAGTACAACTACCGCTGCTGGACCACGAATCACTGCCAGAAAAGTAAGAGAGCTGCTGACCATGATGTTCTCTGTTCCCCTTTCTCTTTTCTCCTCTTCTTCTTTACTCTTCTCCTTCTGAATGCAGATGTTTTCTATGGTGGGTTGAGTCCTATTGCATTTATGACGTGGTATACCGATACTTCTGGTGCACCAAGCAGAAGTGGTTCCTAAAGTGTGTAATTGTGTGTGTGTGTGTGTGTGTGTGTGTGTGTGTGTGTGTCTTGGTTAGTTTTCTGTTGCATCTGGGAACTTGTGAGATATAGGATGGTGGTATGGGTGGAAGCCATGTTGGGTGCTGTCAAGAGTGGTCAAAGGACATACTGGAAATACAGTGGAAACTCCATTCACAAACTCAGTTTGTTCCACAATTCTAGAGAAAATGGCCACATTCACGTTCATACAAAGAAGATAGCCATGGTTGTGTTCATCACCTCATGTAGATTTCACAAAGAAAAACAAAATTTTGCCAAACACTTCTGTTTGCAAACCAAATTGTTACTGAGGATCATTTGGCTAGAGGTGGAGGAAGGTGCTCTTGTGATTGTTTGCAACTGTGCCTGATTATTATTTTACCCACTAGTTTGAGAAGACATCAAAGTACCTTTTCAAAGTAGCCTTAACATTTAAAAATTCTGCCTGAAAAGTAAAAGCAAAGTCAGCAAAGTGTCACCAGGAAGGGATAGTGGACTGAGATTAGATGGTGGCTTTGGACAACCTGCTGTTCTGGGCCATAGCTGGGCGTGTTCCTAAGCGGTTACTGTCATTAATCCTGGTGGTCAGATACATTCAGAGATGGGAGAGGTGACACACCTGTCACCCCAATGACTCAGGGGTTGATTCAAAGCCAATGTGGGCAACTTGGTGAAACCCTGTCTCCTAATTAAAGAGTGTTGGAGGGATAGCTCCGTGGTGGAACATACTCCTGGGCTTGATCCTCAGTATCACAGAGCATAAAAAGTACATGTACATGCGCATAAGTTTTTTCAGAAACTCATAAACTTGTACAAGAGGGAGGCGTTATTTAAAGAGTCACCGGGCAGGGGAGCGCCTGCTGAATGACTCGGCAGATGCTTACTTTGGTTTTAGTGTGAGTTTTCAGCTATTTCTGACTAGCTGCTCACCCAGGAAGCTTGGAGCAGAGCTGAAGCCTGTATTCTGGGTTCAAGTCTAGGAGCAGCTATTTGACATGAACATGTGATTCAAACTGCCTGGGCCTCAGTGCTTTTCATCTGCAAGATAAGATAGATCCTGCTGTTTTCCGTAGAGCCATTGGAAGATTAAAAGGTGAAAGCAGAAAAGTGCCAGGAGAAAGTTGGACCTGGGCCCCGGCCCAGGCGGTTGTGCTGGCTTGGATGCTGGTGGCTCCAGCCGCATGCCCCCAGCCTTTTCTTTGACCAGCTGTCCCAGTCTTGCCCATGTTTTTGTGTGATTTCACAATGGAACACTTATTTAAGGTTAATAAATGCATTCAGAAGAATTGTCTTCTTGGTCCTTTTCCTGAAAATGGAGGAATGGGCACAGTGTCGAAGAAGTTTGCAGGCTGAGTTGGAATTCTTTTTGTTTAGTATCCCTGTCAACCGTGATTGTCTGACTCCTTACTGAGCACTTACACTGTGGCCTGTCTGAATCAAGACATGCCCTAAGTGTGAGTATCCACTGGGTTTCCAAGACAAAGTATGCGGAAATCCCTGTTAAAAAATCTTATTAATCATTTTTATATTGGTTACATGTTGAAAGAGTATGTGTTGGACATGTTAGATTAAGGAAATGTTGACTGGGTGTGGTGGCGTGTGTCTCTAATCCCAGCTCTTGGGAGGCTGTAAACAGGCGGATCACTATAAGTCTGATCTAGTAGTGAGATCTTAAACACCCTATAGAAACTTCCCTAAAATACAAAAGAAAAAAAAAGAAAAAGAAAAGAAATTGTGCTGTCAAAAGCAGTTTACTTTTTACTTTTGAACGTGGATACTAGCCTATTTGAAATTTCAGGTGTTTTGCTTTCTGTTTTGACCAGAGCCACTGCTTTAAGGCATTCAGGGTCGGTGCTCTCCACGTAGAGTCTCTCAGGCCTGCAGAGTGCAGAAGTGCAGCTGTGTCCTGCACCCCGGCAGCCAGGGGTTTCAGTGCCGCCTCCTGGCGCCAGGGCACAGCACTGAGTCCAGGCAGAATATCTGCCTTGAGTTTGCCACATACATTGAAATGGTATTTAAAAGGAGTGAGCACTTTAGAGTCCCACATGTTATCCTTTTGTTGGCTGGGGCTGAAGTAGAGGGAAACCTGGAGCGAAACATCGAGCCAAGGGCGTGCATGAGCTTGTGGATGCAATAGAGGAACCCTCAGATGTGTTGATGCTCAGTTTTGACTTGACCTTTTAAAAATTCCTTTAGGTCAGGACCATGCAGTGGCCAGGAGGTAGTGACAGTGCCACTAGGGAAATGACCACTCTGTCGGGTTTTTGCATGCTTTTGTATTTGTCTCTTCTCTTAAGATTTGAAGGAAGATTTTATGCAGGCATTCCTAGAAAAGCAAGAGACTCTTTTTAAGAGCCGTCTGCCGCCCTTTCCCTTGGGTAGGGCCAAAACCTGGTCTCTTCATGTTTGCTCTTTGTTCTGACAGGCTCCTCTTCTGGTTTTCTTCCCCTGCTGGTAACTTGTTTGCTTTACTGACCCCTTTCTTCACTCTGGTCTTTTAGTACTTGGTGGTTCTCTTCGCTACTTTTCATTGCTGGAACAAAGTACGTGACACTCACAAGTTAAAGGAGGAAGAACTTATTTCTGCTCACAGTTTGTAGAGTCTCCTTGCATAGCTGGCAGGCTCCAAGGGAGGGGAGCAGGGCGGCAAGGCAGAGGAGTGGCAGTCCGTGCAGGCAGGCAGGCAGGCAGGCAGGCGGTAGCACCACCGAGGCAAGCCTCCCTTTCCCCTTTGTCCTGTTCACCCATAAGCCTTTCAGGTGGTACCACCCACACCCAGGGTGGGCCTTTTCATTATCCAGAACTATACTAAGCCAGTTAGTGGAATAAATTAGTACCATACACACTTAATCCCAGTGTCTTGTACCCCAGATCCAGCCAGCTCTGGAAAGCCCCACATATGAGCACATGAGACTGAGGGACAACTAGACACAAGCTAGAACACTGGTCTCATAGTCCGATTGGGACCACATTCATTTTAACAGAATAGCATAGACTGGGTAGCTACTAAACAGTAGATTTGTTTCTCACGGCTTTAGAGGCTGGAAGCGCAAGATGCAGGCAGATGCCATGCGTGCTAGCAGCCTGTTTGCTGGCTCACAACGCCTTTTTGCTGTGTCCTTCTGTGGGAGAAGGGGCAGGGCAGTTCTCTTGGATCTCTTTCAAGAGTGCTTATCTTATCTGTGCAAGCCCTGCCCTCATAGCCTGATCATTTCTGAGAGCCCTACCTCCTGGCGGTGGCCTTTTGGGTATTAGGTTTTAACAGAAGTTTGGGAGAAGGTAAGCCCCGAGACCCTAGCATGGCCAGAGTTCCATTTCTGTCATTCCCATCTCATCCATGGGGCTGCTTTTGCCAAATGCCCTCTCCAGCCCAGGCCTCTGTGGCAGTTCTAGGCCGAGACACAGCTCCACTTGGCACCAGTGGGTATCCCGGCGCACTTGGGATGGGCATGCTCCTGACCCGCACTCCTGCACTAGGCCCTGGGGGATCAGCACTCGTATACCACACCGCCCGCTGTGGTCGGCCTCGCCCTCTGGGTACCATACCAAGCTCCACGTGCCGTGCCGCCTCTCCCTCCTGCCTGCCGATCTCTGGTTCCATTAGTTCAGCGCCATGCTGAATCCACCCTAGGTTTCTTCTACAACGCATGGTTGTAACGCAGCAGCCAGCATGGCAACTGGTTTGTGAAGGATTTGTTGACAGGAAGAGCCCCGTTCCCATCTGAGCAGAGAGGAGTGTGAACTGGCTGTCCTCGGTGAGCCCCGAGGTGCTGGGATTATGAAGTGCTTTTCCGACATTGCTTGTGTCCTTGCCTTCTGTAGCTCTCAGCTGGGGTGGAGGATGCACCTTGGATAGGAGTTCTTTTCTCTCCCGCCGTTGTCAGAATAATTCAAGGCCGAAGATGGCAGTATATGAAAATCATCTGAAAGACTGGATCGTGCTCCTTACTGTGTATGGCAGCTTCACTGAAGGCCAACCGCACGCAGGAGGGGCCGTGGTGAGCCCTCCAGAGGGCCTGGGGCTTTCTTCTTTCTCAGTGAATTTGGTTAAGTGGTGCCTGTTGATGACTTAACCTGCAAGCTGTCTGGTATTCAATTTCAGGTGTGGACCCCTGCTGCAAAAACAAAACAACAAAACAAAATGAAAAGCCAAAAACCCTGGAACTGTAGACCTTACTGCTAATGCTAATCTTCATCTCCAGGTACCTTTTAGTCCACCAGGGTGAAAGCTTGTGGTTTTTTCATGTTGTCCTGACTGTATATGTGAAGAAGGTCCAGTCTTTGCAGGAAATCTATGACGGTGTTGGCTTGGCTGTGCTGGAAGCTGGCTTTGTTGGTGGGACAGCCTTATTTCGGTTGAAAGGGCATAGGGTGGGAGCAGTGGTCCTGCTGTTCGTGAATTTCCTTACTGCCTCTGAAGTGAGAAAGCAGGTAAGTTGCAGATCAGAGCCTTCCAGTGACAAGGCAGTGAATGGCTCCCTTCATTGACAAAAGGAAGACATGACTGCTGCACCACTGATGGGGTCAGGAACTTAAAAAGATGTCAGTCATGTAAAACAGACAATTGTACGCTGTTTTCCTGTTCCAGATTCTCTGAGTTCTAGTTTATCAAACTATTCTGGTGAGGGTAGCCGTGGCATGGGAAGTGGAATCATACCCTTCCCTAGCCTTCTTACAGCTCCGTGGTGGCAAACCTATGGCATGCACGCGTGGCATGCGGCGTGCACAGAGCCTTCTCTGTAGGCATGTGAGCCAAGTCGTCCTTGCAGGTGAAGGCGCCCCAGTGTCACCCCAGCAGCTGAACATGCAG